TACCTCGAGAGTGACAGTTGTGGTAAGTTGCCCAACAAGTAGAAAATACTTGAATATTTGAATCATACAGAAAAGTATCAAGATTGATGTAACAAACACAAATGCACGCACTACCCAGCTTTGTCAGTTATTACTATTTTGACATTTTACTTCAGACTTTTTTTTAAGAAATAAAAATTACAGATGTATTGAAATTTCCAGGGTAACTCTTTCTAATCGTGTTTCCCTTCTCTCCTCCACTGAGATAACATGAGTGTTGTGTATTTGGTCTTTATCATTCTTTTGCATTTCTATATTTTTGCTGTTTGTGTATACATCATTAAATAACATTTATCATTGTTTTACATGTGTTAAGTTTTATATTAATGGTGTCACTCTGATACTCTATTTCTGTAACATTATGTTGTCTCATTCAGCATTATTTTTCTGAGATTCATCCATGTTGATAATGCAGCTATGTTTTCATTTTAACTGTTACTTGATATTCCATTCATTATCTGAATATCTCATGTGTTGCTAGATACTTAGGTTGTTTATAATTTTTTCTGTTATGGTTTTTGTAAATGAAAATTATTTTACATGTTTCTTATGCACATGTGTAATAGTTTCTCTGGGCAGTAACTTATTTTCTTTTCTTTCTTTCTTTCTTTTTTTTTTTTTTTTTTTGAGACAGAGTCTCACTCTATTGCCCAGGCTAGAATGCTGTGGCATCAGCCTCGCTCCCAGCAACCTCAAACTCCTGGGCTCAAGCAATCCTGCTGCCTCAGCCTCCGGAGTAGCTGGGACTGCAGGCATGCGCCACCATGCCCGGCTAATTTTTTCTATATATATTTTTAGTTGGCCAATTAATTTCTTTTTATTTTTTAGTAGAGACAGGGTCTTGCTCTTGCTCAGGCTGGTTTCGAACTCCTGGCCTTGAGCAATCCACCTGCCTCTGCCTCCCAGAGTGCTAGGATTACATTCGTGAGCCACTGTGCCCAGCCTGGGCAGTAACTTTCAAATTCTTTTGACAGATCACACAGTAATACTTTACATTGTGACCCAGAATAAACAAATGCACATGTAACCAAAGTAACAATTTTTCATTAAATAATACTTGCCCCTATTACAAACTACATACTCTGTGATCCATTCCATTCCATTCCATTCCATTCCATTCCATTCCATTCCATTCCATTCCATTCCATTCCATTCCATTCCATTCCATTCTGTAATATTAGGAAAAAAAAATACTACTCATGAGCCACAAAAAGGTAACAACCTGTAGTTTGAAAAATACTACTTGAGGATATACCCAGGAGGGCCAAAGATGTACATTTTCAGCTTTACTAGATATTGCCAAATTTCTTTCCAAATCATTGTGTTAATTTACATTCCCACAAGCAGTGTATTCTAGTGCCTGTTGCTTCTCATTCTCACATTTAGTGTTGTCAGTCTTTTTTTCATTTTTGTCAATCTGGTAGGTATGAAATAGTATCTCAGTGTTGGTTTAATTTGCATTTTTAGCTAAAGGTTCTAGCCAGTGCAGTAAGAAAAGGCAAAGCACCATATTATTTTTTATTTTTATTTTTTTCCTTTGGAACTTACCTTAGTCAAGCACAAAGCACCATTTTAGAATTTTATGGACTTTTTAGTTTTCTTCCTTTGCATATTCCTGTTTATGCCTTTGCCCATTTTCCAACTGCATTGTCTTTTTTTCATATTGATTTGTAAGAGTTATTGATATACATGTGTTTTTTATACTCCTTCTTTCTCAGTAATAGGCATTGCAATTATCTTCTTCCAGTTTGTTGCCCACACCTATTTATTTCTTTATTTTTGCCCATAAAGGTTTTAATTTATATTATTATGAAATTTATTAATCTTTTACCTTATAGTTTATCATTTGGGGATCTTATTTAAGGAATTCTTCTTAACCCTGAGTGTATAAAATAGTCTCCAATAGCTTATCGTAGAGGTTATATATATATATATATATATATATTTTTTTTTTTTTGGCTTTTGTTGTTTTATTGATATAGTTGTGTTACATTTAGGTCTTTAACCACCTGAAATTTATTTTTGTTTATGCTGTGATGTAGGGATCTAGTTTCATTATTTTTCCATATGGACAACTGGCACCATATGTTTAATAGTCAATCCTTTTCTCCTCTATCTTCTGACACAGGAGGATGTTTCTGAAATCTACACTTCATTTGTATTGGTTTATTTGTCTATCCCTGAGCCACTTCCATACTGGCTTAATGACTGTTGATATAGTCTTATGGGTATAGCTTTAGAGTAATTATGAATATGTGATAGAGTGAATGTCCCCACTTCTTAAAATCTTCTAAATTGTTCTGGCTATTCTTGGCCATTTGTATTTTCATTTAAATATTAGGATCAGGCCGGGCGCAGTGGCTCACGCCTGTAATCCTAGCACTCTGGGAGGCCAAGGTGGGAGGATTGCTCGAGGTCAGGAGTTCGAAACCAACCTGAGCAAGAGCGAGACTCTGTCTCTACTATAAATAGAAAGAAATTAATTGGCCAACTAACATATATAGAAAAAATTAGCCAGGCATGGTGGCACATGCCTGTAGTCCCAGCTACTTGGGAGGCTGAGACAGCAGGATGCTTGAGCCCAGGAGTTTGAGGTTGATGTGAGCTAGGCTGACGCCACGGCACTCACTAGCCTGGGCAACAAAGCAAGACTCTGTCTCAAAAAAAATAAAAATAAAAAAATAAATAAATAATTAGGATCAGTTTATCAAATTCCACAAAAACTTATATTGGGATTTTTACTTGAATTGCATTGAATTTATAAATTAATCAAAACAGCTTTAGGCTAAAACTGAAAATAGCTTAGGTATCCATCAATAGGATAATGATAAACAAAATAGTTCATTCATACAATGGACTATTACTTGCCAATAAAAAGAAACAAACTGCTGATACCCATGACAGCATTGATGAATCTAAAAACATTCTAAGTGGAAGAAAGCTTATACAAAAGAGTATATATTGTATGATTTCATTTATTTGGAGTTCTAGAATAGGTAAAAGTAATGTAGGGTGAACAAAACCAGAATAGTAGATACTTTTGGGAGGTAAGAATGAGAATTAGCTCAGAAAGGGGCATGAGAGGATTCTCTGGGGTGATGGTGTTGTTATGTATCTTGATGGAGATTGGGTTTTGCAGGTATATATATATTTTTAAAAATGTGTTGAATGTACACTTGGGTTTATATACTTTATCATGTAAAAGATAGCTATTATTGGTGAGATTGTGGAGCAGCTGGAAACCTGGTACACTGTTGGTGGGAATATAAAATGGTGCAGCTGTTATGGAAAAACAGCATGGAGGTTCCTCAAAAAATTAAAAATAGAACTACCATATGATACATCAGCCCTTCTTTTGGGTATTTATCCAAAAGAAATTGAACTCAGGATCCCAAAGAGATATTTGTGTTCATTGTTGCATTAATTCATAATAGCCAAGATGTGAAAACAACCTAAAGGTCTATTGATGGATAAATGGCTAAAGAACATGTGATACATACATGCAATGGAACATTATTCAGCTTTAACAGAAGAAGGAAATTGTGCCATATGTGATAACATGGATGAACCTTAGGGACATTATGCTAAGTGAAATAAACCTGTCATAGGAAGAAAAATACTACATGATTCCACTTACATGAGGTATCTGAAATAGTTGAACTCATAGAAGCAGAGTGTAGAATGATGGTTGCCAGGCCTAGAGGAAGAGGGTTGTGAGGAGTTGCTCTTCAACAAATATAAAGTTTTAGTTATGCGAGGTGAATAAGTTCTAGATATCTGCTGTATAGCTTTGTGTTTATAGTTAACAATATTGTATTGTAAACTTACAATTTTATTAAGAGAATAGGTATTAAGTGTTATTACCACAATTTTTCAAAATAAAATAAAATGTTGGAAAAAATGCAGCAATAAGGTTTTGTCCATACTACCTGCTCTTGATGGAAAGGTAAAAAGCAGTCATTTTTTATTTGCTTTGGGGCTCTTTAGAAGGGTTTATTTAAGTCAGACTGATTATAGTACTAAATAACATGTAAAGAAGCTCATCTAGGTTTACAGGGAGGCTTGTTTTATTTGGGCCTCTTTCAATGTATATGCCAGTATAATTGTGAGCAAGTAAACTAAATTTTTATTTAAGCCTTTTACAATATAAAGGATAAAGGTATAACTTTAAAAAAGAAAAAATATTATCTTTGACTTATTGAGATCCCAGGAATCAGAGACTTCAGTAATTCCTTGGAGTCTACCCTTTAATTCCCCTTCAAAAAACAAAACAAAATATTATACATTAGTTTGAGGGTACACCAGACCAACTTTTATTAACATTTTTCTCAGAGTGGGAAAGTTTTTATCTTTTCTGCCAGGATGTTTCATCAACTTGACCTTATCGTCAACATCTCCATTTTTGGCACAATTCTCAGATATACAAGAAAAGTTTTCTAGCTAAGATGATGTTCTTCCACATACCCCTCTTATAGGTGTTATTGTTGGGTTTCCAAGTATCAGTAATTATCTCCAACTGTCCTAACTTGGCAGTATCTTGGAGTAATGGAAACAGGGGCATAGGGATGGAAATGAATGTTGAAATCTGTAATTTTTTCAGTTTTGGCAAAGCTTTTCAACTCAATGCTGCAATTTTTCCTAGCACCTCTGAGAATATTGCCTTAACAGAATGGGCATGCTGGCAAAACAAACCCAAACAAAAACAACGTTATGCAAAATTCAAGCTGGTATGTGGGGGGAGGTGTAAGTCATTTGCTTTTTTGAATGATTTATTGTTTTATTGGTAAATCACAATATGATTCATGTTAAATGATAGGAAAGTATATTGATAATATCAGGAACATTCTATATATACTGAGAACATATTATGAAAGAAATGCTACCATTTTTGTACCTTTGTTTTGTGTCTTGTACAGTTAACAGGCTTCTGTCTAATCTCAGTGCATACATTGTTATTTCAGGTCCTGTGGGAATGGCTGCCGCTGCTGCTGTGGCAACAGGAAAGAAACGGAAACGGCCTCACGTGTTTGAGTCTAATCCATCTATCCGGAAAAGGCAGCAAACACGTTTGCTTCGGTGAGGGCTTCCTTATCAATACCATTACTCTACCTCTAATATTTCCTATGTGGAGGACAGAGTTGGAACATTCATGATTAGTTTCGGCAGGATACCAGGTTGGATTCCTTGATGACAGACTTAGACTAGAAAGTTCTCTTACAAAGTAAAATAAATGAAAACCTTGAAATATGACTTAACAGGTGTGTAGTGTCACAGTAATTCATTCAGAGAAGATTTGTATGCCCCACTATGTACCAGGCATTGTTCTAGACATTGGGAGTAGAACAGTAAACCAAACAAATTGACTCAATGAGCTTATATTCTGATGGAAGGGGAAAGAAAATAAACAAATATATAATGTCAGATAATGATAAGTGTTGTGGAAAAAGTAAAGTGGAGTAAGGAAAATAGAAAGGTTAGGAGGTTGGGGAAACATAGTAGTTTCTCTCTTTTACAGGGATGGTTTGGGAAATCATTTTTGATAAGGTATCCTTTGAACAGAGACCTAAAGAAACTGAAAGTAACCATGCTAAAATCTAGGAGAAGAACATTTTGGGCAGAAGGAATGTCAAGCAAAGGCCCCGAGGTGGGAATGCACTGGTTATGTTGGAGCAACAGCCAGGGAGAGGTGAGAGGAGACATCAGAGTATTAGGGGACAGCCACACCAAGAGGTCCTATATTCCAATATCAGGGCTTTGACTCTTACTCTGAGTGAGGTGGGAAATCAGTGAAGGCTTTTGACCAAAGCAATGATATAATCTGACTTACGTGTTTAAAGATTCACTCAGGCTACTGTGTTGCTCTAGGGGTATAAGAATGGAAGTAAGAAGACCAATTAGGAGGTTATTATAGTAGCCAAAAAATTGTTTTGGCACCCCAAAACAGAGTACTAACATCAAAGATCATTGATAACAGATCACCATAACAGATATAATAATAATAAAAATTTGCAAGAGTTACCAAAATGTGGCAAAGAGACATGAAGTGAGTACATGTTGCATAAATGGCACCACTAGACTTGCTTGACGTAAGGTTGCTACAAACCTTCAATTTGTTTAAAAAAAAACCAACTAGCCATAATATCTATGAAGTGCAAAAAAAAAAAAAAAAGCTAAGTGCAATAAAACGAGGCATGCTTGCAGTATTTTTGGACAAAATTAAGGATATATAAATAATGGCTGTATCAATGAAAGACATTAGAAGCAAGTCATTTGAGCCCCCTTCACTAAACATGGAGATGATCTAATAAATCCTATAAGAGGATATCTCAGCTGTAATATAGTTGTAAGTTGCAGTAAGTGATGTTGCTAACATCAGGAAGGATGATATGTTCAAAACTGTGTCATGGCTATGTTCCCAAGCAAAATCCTCAGTAAACACTATATTAATGGTATAGTCATCAGTCTTTAAGAGAAAAGTATGCATATATTTCTGCCAAAAAGCATATGAAACCTCACACTCCCCTTTTCACATTCCAGGTAAAAGAAAGAGTATCTGGTTAGAATAAATTGTCAAGTCAAAGTAAATTTCATTTGTGTCTGTTTTACTATAATTTCTATTGTCTTTGAACTGTTTTTTATTCTCTTCATATTCTCTGATTCAGGAAACTTCGAGCCACATTAGATGAATATACCACTCGAGTGGGACAGCAAGCTATAGTCCTCTGTATCTCACCCTCTAAACCCAACCCTGTCTTTAAAGTGTTTGGTGCAGCACCTTTGGAGAATGTGGTAAGTCAGGTGCCCTTCGCTTTCTGTGGGTTGTTCCCATTCCTCTGATCCTCTGTGTAGTACCATAGTTAGCACTTCTGTGCTCCCCTCATCTGGGGGTAGGAATGTGGATTAGATTTCAAACTACTTTGTGCATATCCAAACAAAAGGATCATTATTACTATTTGTACTTCCTATATCAAGGTGTTTTACCTTATCAGATGCAATAGGGGAAAAAACCCCATAGTGTTTTGTTTGTGAAGAAACTGGTGCAGAGGCTGGGTGTGGTGGCTCACACCTGTGATCCTAGCATTCTGGGAGGCCGAAGTGAAGGGATCACTTGAGGTCAGGAGTTCAAGACCACCCTGAGCAAGAGCAAGACCCCATCTCTACTAAAAATAGAAAAAATTACCCGGTTGTGGTAGCACATGCCTGTAGTCCCAGCTACTCGGGAGGCTGAGGCAGAAGGATCGCTTGAGCTCAGGAGTTTGAGGTTGCTATGAGTTAGGCTGACGCCATGGCACCCTAGCCCGGGCAACAGAACAAGCTCTGTCTCAAAAAAAAAAAAAAAAAAAAAGAAACCAGTGCAGGATTTTGTAAAAAAAAAAATACTGATTTATATCAGAAACAAAATGGTAAATAATTCTAAGATGTGAACTTCATGAAAAACATGAGTATTTTATTGATCAGGTATTTGAGTTGCATATTTAAAATGTCTTTTATATTTCTTCAAAGAATTGATTTAACACTCTGCTTCAATTTGGAAATATATTTGAACATTTCGATTGAATATCCAGAAAAAAGTAGTATTTTGCCCTTGCATATTTATACAATGTGAACTATTCTTCCTCTGGCCAAGTTAACTTTGAATCATTAGTAGAATAATGATCTGTCAACATTTAAATTGCATTTCATTTTTATTAGGATAAAGTTTATTAGCTTAAAATGGCATTTATTAGATTTCTCTCATATTGAGTGTAGATATTTCAAGAGTTCAGAATTAGTAATCAGTTGATAGAAATTTTGTTTGTTGTATTTTTTTTCACACCATCTTCCTATCCCTGAAATGTTGTGGTTACTTCTTAAATTTTTGGGTTTTGTTTTGAGTTTTGAGGTTTTCCAAAAATTCCTGGGGCCCTACAATTAATATGCACCTTAGGACCTTTCCTTAGAAGAATATGGTTGAAGGCTTCTAGTTCAAAATAGTGCCTGGCAAGCAGCCTTACTGTCATGCTATTGGCAAACATGAAATCTGGGCATGTCTTCTCTTTCTCAGTATTGAAAAGCTAAAGCAGTACTACTGGTAGTAATAATGATAATGTGATCTGTGGGAAAAAAACTCATCTAATAGACTCAGAAAAATACCTCTGAAAATTACTAACTGAAAAATCCAAAAGAAAGGTTTAGGAAACTGTTAGAGTCTTCCATATACTACAAAAAGATATAGACTGTAAAACAAGGTAGACTAGACTGAGATAAAAAGCAGTATATATTTTGCCATTGATTGACATTTGATAAATATAGGTTAAAGAATGCAAATACCAGTAAAATTATAAGCAGAATATATCTTCCAGAGCACTAAAGAGGAAAAACTAAACCAAACAAAAAACCAAAATAAAGTCTATATACAACAGACAGAAAACAAAGGAAAGAATGACAAAAACAAAACACAAAGTATAGAACAAGGTAATACAAGTGAGGCCTGTTAATTCTGTTGTAAACTATAAATATAAATGTGTTAAACTGCCTTGTTAAAGACAAAGACTTTTTCTTTCAGATCAGAACAATCTAAGTCAAAACCCACTTCTATTCAATTTATAGGTCATACTTAAAAGCCACTCAAAAATATAAAAGTAGCTGCTGATACAATCAAGAAGGTGCAAAGACAACCCACAGAAATGGTAGAGTATATTTGCAAATTTTGTGTCTGATAAAAAAAAAACTTGTATTCAGAATATATGAAGAGCACTTAGAACTCAACAATAAAAAGATAAATAACCCAATTTTAAAATGGACAAAGGATCTGAATAGCTATTTCTCCAAGAAGATATAGAAATGGCCAATACAAGCACATGAGAATTAATGATAAATAATCATTTATCATTATTATGTCATTTATCATTAATTATTAGTCATTTATCATTAATAATCAAATTTTTATGACTAATGATAAACACATAATGATGAATAATAATTAGTCATTAGGGAAATGAAAATCAAAACCACAATGAGATATTACTTTACACCTACTAGGATGATTATAATAAAAAAGAAACAATAATAAGTATTAGTGAGGATATGGACAAATTGGAATCCTCGTATATTGCTGGTAAGAAAATAAAATGGTGCAGCTACTTTGGAAAACACTTTGGCAGTTTCTAAAATCATTAAAAGTAGAGTTACCATGACCTAGCAATTCTCCTAAATTATACCCAAAAGAACTGAAAGCATATGTTCATATACAAACTTGTATACAATGTTTATAACAGCATTATTCATAGTAGCCCCAAAGTGAAACAACCCAAATCTATCAACTGATGAATTAATAAATAAAGCAATATATTCATACAATGGAATGTTATTCAGCACAAAAAAGGAATGAAGTGCTGGTATGTACTACAGCATGGATGAACCTTGAAAACATTGTGCTAAGCAAAAGAACCCAGTCATAGAAGACCACATATGATTCCATTTATATGCAATGTCCAGAATAGGCAAATCTATCTGTCTGTCTGTCTGTCTATCTATCTATCTATCTATCTATCTATCTATCTAGAGAGAATCAATTAGTAATTGCCTGGGGAAGATGGAAGGGGGAATGGAGCATGACAGCCAATGGGTATGGGGTTAATTTTAGGGGGAATGAAAATGTTCTAAAATTAGAACATTTAATGTGATGATGATTGTAGGACCCTATGAGTATATTAAATGATACACTTTAAATAGGTGAATTATATAGTGTGGTAAGCTGAACAGCGCCCCCCACTGAGATTCCCTAATCCCTGGAACCTTTGAATATTACCTTACATTGCAAAAGGAATTGCACAGTTGTGATTAAATCAAGGATCTTGAAAAGGGGGAGATTATCCTGGATTGTCCAGGTAGGCCCTAAATGTAATCACAAATGTCTTCATGAGAGAGAGACCAGGAGAGATCAATACAGAAATAGATGTGTTGGTGGAATAAGAGGCTGGATGCAAGGAAGGGGTCAGGAGCCAAGGAATGCAGGCCAGACAGAGACTAGATAGGACCAAGAAGCGTGTTTTCCCCTAGGTCTCCGTAGTACCCAGCCTGCCAATAGCCTTGACTTTAGCCCAGTAAAACCAAGAAAATAAATTTGTGTGGTTTTAAGCCGCCAAGTTTGTGGTAATTTGTGGCAGACATAGGAAATAAATCTGTATGGTATGTGAATTATATCTTAATAATGCTATTAAAAATGTTAAAATGACAGGCAAAAGTATGTCAGACAAATACCTAGAAAGGTAAATCATGGATCACAGCATTAATATCAGACAAAGCCAAATTCTCAAGGCAAAAAAGTATTGAGAACCAGAGGTCATTTAGTATTGATAAGCGATATAAACTTATAACAAACCTTTTATTCCTCAAGTAACATTAAAGCAAAACAGGTAGATTAAAAAATTAGAAATGTAAGAAAAAAATAATTAAAACCCACAGTGGTAGTAAAGGGCTTTAATATCTTTGCCATATCAAGGAAGCAAAATATAAATAATATAGAGATCTGAATAATAGAATTAATAAGATTGATATAAGAGAAAAAGATATACTCACATTAACACCTTATAAGGTGATAATACCGTGTTTCCCCAAAAATAAGACCTACCCATAAAATAAGCCCTAGCAGGATTTCTAAGCATTTGTGCAATATAAGCCCTATCCTGAAAATGCGACCTAGTGATGGGCGTGGCTATGCAGCGTATCTGCACAATCCACGCATTTCATCGGGGAGCGGTAAAGAAGACCAGCAGCCCTTCTCATCTGCCCCATCATGACAGCTACTATCCCAGAGGTGACTGGAAAAGTGCGAGCATCCCCACTAACAAGGTCCGTTCCCCCTGTCAGGACCCGGCCATCCTGTGCGTGCTGCAAGCTGAGGCTTTGAGGGGAAAGTCTCCTCAGTGAAGTGAGGAGCCGGACGCTCCGCATTAGGTATTGTGTGTCCCCAGGGGGAAGAAGGAAAGCTGTTGCTGTCATTTTACTCAGTACTGCGGGCCTCTCTCACGCCACACAAACACCAGGGGATAGGGGAAAAGCTTCAGCAAGCAGTTTCCTACTGAGCCCAGAGATACCATTTCTGCTCCACTGTGCAGATTGGACCCAGTGCTCACTGGATCTCTGATAAATAAGCTAGCCTTGCTCATTTAATGAGAGCTCTATTGCTCGACATGAGAGATGGGGCCAATGGTTCGAAAGGAAATAGAGTCGCAAGAAATTCAGGATGGAATTCAGGGTTTGGAGAGTTATGATGATGTTCCAGAAGAAGATGACTTAACTATATTTGAATAAGTGTAGATTATTGTACCGTACTTAAAAAAAATAACACATCCCCTGAAAATAAGCCCTAGGGTGTCTTTAGGAAAAATAGATATAAGACCCTGTATTATTTTCGGGGAGACACAGTGTACCATATTTGAAAAATTACAAATATGTATTATAAGAATTGACCAGAAAATGGTCCCAAAGAATGTTTATTCTTTGGGGCCATATTCTCTGATCATAGCACAGAATATTTAGAACTTATATCAAAAAAGTGATAAGAAAAAAATTCAACCACATGGACGTTTTGAAAAGAAAAAGTTTATTTATAGGCTGTTTAGAAACAGTTACAACGAAAAACAAAAAGTTATGATCTAAACTGTTACTCAAAGGAATATTCATTGCCTTTTTAAAAAAATATATATAAGAAAGGCCGGGCGAGGTGGTTCACGCCTGTAATCCTAGCTCTCTGGGAGGCCTAGGCAGGCGGATTGCTCAAGGTCAAGAGTTCGAAACCAGCAAGA